TTTTTATGATTAGTACAAATGTAAAATAGTTATAAAGCATAGAAAGTTATTCTGTAGATTACAATTATATAAGAATTGTATAATTATTGACATTCATATCCAATGCTAGCATTTCTATATATCAGTGTAATCATAGGTAACGGACGTGTAATAACTTATTATTGACTTAATCGCGATGTTATCGCAACTAAATTGTACTTATCTCTAAGTTTTGCCGTTTATATGGATATGAATTTCTATACAAAGTGAACATATTTCGCCATTTATTGTGTGTTTTGTTATTACGTATTGTTTTTTGTTAACTAAACGCTAATTAATCATAAAATTTCACTTTTATTTATGAAAACCAATACACGAATTGATACACAGAATATCAATACAAATATCTGGATAAAAGTAAATCCTTGATACAAATAAGTTATCGATTCTACAAATCATTTGAAAAATGCATTTCAATGTCAAGAATGTTGCCTCAATTTTGGTGCTAGTTGCTATTATACATTTGAATTTGGTTGTAAATGGTAATGAAACTTCATCCTCGACATCTTCTACACCACTCTCTACACTTTCAACAGTGACTGACAACGACACAGCAACACCCTTAACCCCTGGCCCCTATACTACCCTCATGCCCTGTCCAGAGCCGGGTCGCAAGTTCGACGGGCCCTCCTTTTTTGGTGGCATGCTATTAGCTATCGGTGTGATTGGGATCTCCTATTTCGTGATCCGATACTATAGGCGCCGACAGCGAGACTATCTGTACAACACTTACTAAACAATTTGTTTTTATATGCAATCCAATGATGTAATATATAATTGAATTTATAAATTAAAACTTAATTTATACTTTTAAAACTCAAACTCCATTTATTGATTCAATATATTTTATGTCCGAATTAAACATTTTTATAATTATTTAGAAAACATTACAAACTATTCAGATATTCGTAACAATTCGATGGAAAAGTGTTTTTAACTAAAAAACTTTTAAAATTGAGTCTAAATACAATTGAGTGGAAAATTAAATGATAATTGCAATTAAAGTTAACATCCCTTAAAGGGATTCATATCACTATATATAGTGTACACAATTGTTTGCATATATTATGCGATTCTCTACACTTATAGCACACAGAATACTCTTAAAAATAAACCAAAAAACTTTTTCAATTCCTACAAACAATACCTGGAGTTGACTGTCATATAAACAACCTATTATTGGGCTCAACCGGTAATTACCGTATAATGAAATGCAAAACAAAACATATACTTTAGACAACATCAGTACACTATAAACGGAGTATTCATTAAACAAACAATTAATTTAAACAAAAATTTAAGACATTTTATGCGAAAACAAGTCTACAGACAGTATAAGCTATGCCTAAATTATACAGAATAACCACAATCTGTACACTATATATGGGGAATCTATTTGTACACTATATATGTCATGAAAACATGTGCTAATAATTCTTGAAATAGTCGTTATCAATGCGTCTGAAGTGTTCAATAAGTGTTGGATAGGAATTGATAATATCCTTAAGTCTGGTGTCGGGTAATGGAGTGATGAGAATGGCGGACACGTGTCCGTAGACCAGAGCATCCAATTCGGTCTTCTTATCGCCAAAGAAGTACAACTGAGTGCCCAGTCGTTCGGCCAGTGCCTGACAGCACGAGTCCACCTCATCGTAAACATCCACTAACTTCTTGTCCGACCACGAGATTGAGTCCAACTTCTGTCACAATCAAAGCAATTCAATGTCAATACAGTGTAAACACAATTGAAAGTAATTACAAACTAATAAACAATTTAAAGATAATTGTTGTAATACAGTATATACCGGTACGGTACGGTAAACCTACAGTAATACCGGTAAATACACATTTCATGCAATAACTACCGGTATAATGACCACTAATACTGAAATTAGGACTAAAACTCAATAATAAATGACTACTAAATAAGTAACTAAACTCGAAATCTGTACACAATATAAAGTACACTATAAAACAGTGACCGCTAAACATATCATGCAATTAGTAAACAGATTGCATAACCCATAAAAGTGTTAACAAAACCCTAATCCCCGATGGATTGGGTGCCTATCAGTCAACAAATACACTGAAAACACAGATAATAATCAAATGCATGAATGAATGGATGACTGACCGCCTGAACGGCGCGTCGCTTCTTCCAGCAGAGGATGCGATCCAACGGGAAGGGAGTGGCGAACGAATAGCGCGGGTATGTTATGGTGTTATACGTGTACTCGTGAGTCCACGTGATGTAGAGCTCGGCCGAGTGGAGGACATTGATGACGAGCGACATGTAGGCCCTCATGTCGGCCCTCTGGGACGAGTCCAAGTGATGGCTAAGATGTATGCCTTTGGTGTTGACGAAGGCCACGATGGGGTCCATGTCTGCGATGACAAAAGCGCCGCATTTGATGAACGGTATGGCACCGGATGGGGACATCTGCTCGGCGTTGGCCCTCTGGTCCACACTGAATGGTAGGGCACACATGCGGAGGAAGGCCTGCACCGACCGCACGGCCGCCACGTCTGGCAGTAGGATCTGCTCGGAGTCGAAGGGCTGGAACAGCTGCACGTTGTCCGGCCACGGATCAGATCCGCCCAACTCCACGGCTATCGACTCTGTCAGCAATACGTTGGGCATTGGCGTGGGTTGTGGTGATGGTCGGGGTGTCTGTTCAACTGATCCGCTGGTGATGTGATCACAGGAAATCTGGTTAATGTCTGCACACAATGTCTTGTTTTCATTCACTGTTTCAATAACAGCTGATTAGATATGACTCGCAAACTGTAAACACGTTTTTTATGTAACACTCATTGAGTCAATGCATTCTGTATGCTGTGACGGGTGCGCCCGTGGGGGTCACAGGGGGCTCATAAAAGTGAGCATTTTTAACATAATATTCTTCAGTATATTTACCATGGTCATCTCAAATTATCTTTGTGTAAGATCATTGTGCTAGATATAGCAAATAAATTTATAGAAATTAATTTTCTAGACAATAACCACATGAAGGGTCGGATTATTTATGGTTTATTATAACGCTTTATATGAATACTATTGCATTACTATAGCTACTGAACACACATTACATCAGCCGTCAAATTATAGACAAACGTTTTGGTCGTAAAATTTGGCTTAAATTCAAAATTAAGACCACTTTTGGCGCATAAGTCAAATGTTTTAGACAATAAGTCTCTAGATATTTGTCTAAAATATTAGTCGGATTAGTGAGAGTCTAGTCAAACACTTTTCAACCTGTTTTAAGTCCATTTTCCTGCGAAAAAGTCGTTACAAAAAGTTTGCAATAATTTTGATGCAATAGTGAAACGCAATGCAATACAAGCATTACGTTTGCGTTGAAAACAACAAAAACATGAAAATAGCGGCAAAACTGAATGACTGATAACAGACATACAGTTCACACACTTTATACTCAACACATGATTATTGTCTAAATACTACACAAACACTAAACAAACTTCAAAAAACTTTTGACGAAAAATAATACTAAACTAAAACTATTAATTGAACGCCAAATCAACCGCTAATACAAAGAAATAGTGAATAGTTTAGTGAATGTATACCCAAACAGGGGTACAGTGTGTGTGAATATTGTGTTTATGAATGCAATGAGAAATGCATATAAAAAGCGACACAACTTTTGGCGCAAACCATACAATACTTGCCATCAGTTGACCACACATTCAGTCATTCATTCATTCAATCATTTGATTGTATTTTTCAATACAATTCTCAAATCCATTGAAAACTTCAAAACTATTTTCAATTCAATTAACTCTTCATATATTTGATCCCAAAAACCACAACCAATCTCAATAACAATGACTCCGACGCCTGTCTTAAGCCAAACCAGCACTGGATCCGCTAATGTGGTGAACAAAGTCGTGGCCAATGGGTTCTGGTGTCGGGAGCGGCCACCCCTGTCCCTACTGTGGTGTCGGTGACAGGCACTCTAGTTGAGATGGCGGCTACTTAACCATGCAGACAGCCAGGTAAGTAATAGAGTAAGTGTGCTGTGAGAGACTAACCATTGATTATCTCGTCCTCCAGTGCATGGACTCACCGATCGTGGGCTTCGAGAGACTGAAGTTGTCGTCGCAGCCCAAAGAGGAACCACTGCTTCGTGAGAACCCCTCGCGGTTTGTGGTCTTTCCCATTGAATACCCGGACATTTGGCAGATGTATAAGAGAGCGGAGGCCTCCTTCTGGACCGTCGAGGAAGTGGATTTGGGACGCGATCTCAAGGACTGGAACCGCCTGAACAGCAAAGAGAAGCACTTCATATCACATGTGTTGGCCTTCTTTGCCGCCAGCGATGGCATTGTCAACGAGAATCTGGTAATTGGTGTGATATTTGCACACATTTTATCCCCACTTAAGACACTTACCACTAATGCCATCAAACGCTAACCCAATTGATATCCACTGATGGTTAGGCCGAGCGGTTCATACGTGAGGTACAGGTGACGGAAGCCCGTTGTTTCTACGGCTTCCAGATCGCCATCGAGAACGTCCACTCAGAGATGTATTCACTGCTCATCAACACGTATGTCACCGATCGAGTGGAACGGTATGTATTCGCCCAACACTTCACACACCAATCAACTCATGCCTTCAATTAAAACACTGATCCCAATGCCTGTCCCTCTTCTCTACCACCCTTTCAGTGAATTCCTATTCAATGCCATCGAAACGCTTCCGTGCGTTAAGAAAAAGGCCGAGTGGGCGATGGCGTGGACCTCCTCAGCGTCGGCCACGTTTGCCGAGCGATTGGTGGCGTTCGCGGCCGTGGAGGGCATCTTCTTCAGCGGTTCCTTTGCCTCCATATTCTGGCTCAAGAAGAGGGGTCTGATGCCTGGCCTCACGTTCAGCAATGAGCTGATCAGTCGCGATGAGGGCCTCCACTGCGACTTCGCGTGCCTACTGTTCCGCCATATCATCAATA